TTAAAGGCGATTTTCTCAATATTTAGATTTTTTTGCACCCTCAGATTCCAGATTTTCAAATAGTTGTATCTCAGCCAAATATTGTCCGATCCTAACAAACCAAACATACATGTATAAATCTCAATTTTGAAAAATTTACCCTTATGACTGGTTTTGTGGTCCAGGGTCACATGTGGTTGGATGTTGCAGGTGAAAACTCAGAAACGACATACTAAACTACCAAATTTTGCTATAAGTTTAATCGCAGCATATAATCATTACAGTTAATAGTGTTCACCGTCTGTTTGATTACGTCATTAACTAACTGCATGAGTTTTACTGTACATTTCTGCCATATGGACATCAACTTGACAGTCACCACTGATATACACTGATGAAATATAATGTAGAAACTTCAAAATAGAAACTTAAATTTTCTGTAAAGCTGCTTTGCAACAATTTGTATCGTGAAAAGCGCTACACAAATAAACTTGAATTGAATTGCATTGAAAAGCTTGGGAAAACACCGGGAGAAAGTTATGAGATTTAGACCTTGTTTCGTTTTGTTGTAAGTGAGAGTGAACCAGTATAATAGCATCAGTTTAAACCCTTTTGTTTACTGATCTAAGCTGTAGTCTGATGTAAATGCAGTAAAAAGCAACAATGGAATTTAAGTGCTAAGTCAATCAGAAACTCTGTAGTCCAGGACATCAGATAAATGTTTTAAAAGATGGAACACTTTATAGAAGATTGATATTTTTTTCATGGTGTATTTGCTAAAGAATGGCTCTCTGTGTCACAGGGACAGCGGCGATGACATCGAGCTGGCGTCATGCGCTCACAGCCAAACGCACAAAGACTTCTCGCTGGTGTCCTCCTGCAGCTGCGAGCTGCTGTGTGACGGTACGTCATCGAGATCAGCCTAAACCTGTAATAGAGCTCAGTAATATCCGGCCATCCGGCCTGACAGAAGCTGCAACGTGCTGATGAATTCTGTCTGTACTAGGGCTGTCAAAATGGCTAAAAAACTAAATTCGAATTTTGTACTTAAATGTTATCAATATTCAGATTTAAAAGGCATAATTTCAGCGTTTGTCTTCTCTCCTGAGGCCACAAGAGGGCGCATCGGGTAAAATATAAGTAATGCACGTTTCTTCAAAGCAATACAATAACATGACTATCTTTGAAAAAGTGCATAATGTTTAAATTAATGTTTATAAACCATATATAATTAATTAAGTTGCTTAAACAATTAGAAACAAAACTGCATCATGTATGTATGTATAGTTTAATACAAAGGACCAAAAACCAATCACAAAGAATGCTTTCTTTATTTAAAAACATGAGATGCAGTGGGATGGAAAAATCGCTATAAAGTCTCGAGATACGTTTTTTTTTAAAGTTTAACTTGCATTAATTTTACATGGCTTTCTA